CTTCCTCAACGATGGTCGGTTCCGCTGAGACTGTTGCCAGACACGCCAAACTTCCGACTAGTTTCCTGCTTAATGCGTCGGCTACGGAGTTTGCCTTACCTGGGTGATACTGAATCTGTATGTCATAATCCTTCAGTAGCTCGAGCCATCTTCTCTGCCTCGTATTTAACTCTTTCTGGGTGAACAAGTACTTCAGACTTTTGTGGTCGGTGAAAACTTGGCAAGATGTTCCATACAAGTAATGGCGCCATATCTTCAAAGCAAAAACCACGGCAGCTAGCTCCAGATCATGGGTAGGATAATTCTTTTCATTGGGCTTCAACTGACGAGACGCGTACGCTATGACTTTACCTTCTTGCATTAGCACGCAACCCAAACCCTTATGTGAAGCATCGCTGTAAATCTGAAATTCCTCATTAGCTGATGGTAGTACCAGAACTGGTGCTGTAACTAACCTCGTCTTCAGCTCTTGGAAAGCTGATTCCCTTTCATTGGTCCATTCGTAAGCTGTTCCCTTCTTGGTTAGTTGTGTCAATGGCACTGTAATCCTCGAGAAATCCTTCACAAACTTTCTGTAATAATCTGCCAAACCCAGAAAACTACGAACTTCGGACACGTTGGTCGGCGTCGGCCAATTCACAATGGCTTCAATCTTGCTGGGGTCAACTGATATACCGTCTTCATTAATCACATGCCCTAGGAATGAAATGCTGGAAAGCCAAAACTCGCATTTACTTAACTTGGCGTACAACTTTTTATCTCTCAAGGTCTGCAGGGCAAGTCTCAGATGATTCTCGTGCTCGCTCGTACTCCCGGAATAGATCAATATGTCGTCGATAAAAATAATGATAAACTCATCCAGGTACGGCTTAAAGACTCTGTTCATCAGGTCCATGAATGCGGCTGGGGCATTGGTTACTTCGAAGGGCATTACCAAAAATTCGTAGTGGCCATATCTTGTCCGAAAAGCAGTTTTCTCGATGTTCTCGGCTTTAACCTTCAACTGGTGGTAGCCTGACCTAAGGTAAATCTTGGAAAAGACTCGTGCTCCTCGTAGTTGATCAAGCAAATCGTCGATTCTAGGTAATGGGTACTTGTTCTTGATGGTCACCTTATTAAGTTCTCTGTAGTCAATGCAAAGACGAAGTGTGCCATCCTTTTTCTTAACAAATAGAACGGGTGCTCCCCATAGTGAAGTGCTCGGCCTAACAAATCCTTTGTCCAACAATTCTTGTAATTGCGATTTCAGTTCTCTAAGTTCGGCTGGGGCCATTCTGTAGGGTGTTTTGGAGATGGGTTGTGTTCCTGTCAGGATGTCCACGGTAAACTCTATTTCCCTATCAACAAGGCGGCCAGGCAACTCATTCGGAAAGACATCGGGGAATTCCTCAACAACGGGTATGTCGGCTAACTCAACATTTCAATTCAAATCACTTAGTATGCTGCATAAATAACCCTTACATCCTTTTTGGATCAACTTGTAGGCCTTCATGGATGAAATTAAGTAAGGTGGGGGTACTACTCCTTTACCCTGGAAAATGACCTCGGCTAGATCTGGGGTCTTCAACGTGACGCTCTTAGTAACACAATTAATGGATGCATGATTCGCTTACATTTCACATAATTTCGCACACCTTTTTTCTTTTCTTTTTTCAAATCTCTCTCAAAATCCCTCAACCAAATACAGCGTTATGGATTTTTTTTATTTGTTCTGTATTAACTATATTTGGAAAATACACTAAGAACCATATTTAGCCACGTTGACAAAAAAGTACAATAAATTTTTTTTTCATTTATTATGTATTAATTGTTAAAAATTTGATTTTTATATGCTTATTTTGGGTCAACTTTAAGTCCAAAATAAAGTGGGTCCCACACGTCTTTTGGGTGAGTCTAAAGAGGTGACGTATTCCTTGCTGCATGGTAAGTCACATGGTGAAGACGGTTCGTCAAAACCATTTATGAGTGAATAGGAACTTGACATCGTTTTTGAGTTCGTGGAATGGATAATTAAAGAATTAAATGTGGGTTTCCTTGTAAGACTTCTCCCAAATTGAAACTTTAAGTGAGCTTGTGAATCTATAAGCTCTAGGTGTACAAACTTGGGTTGGACCCGAAGGGGCATCCCAAGTTTGTAGAATAGAGGAGTTATGGACAATTTGAACCTTGGCTCAAACCACCACATGCACGCGTGCCGCCGCTGTCCGTCCGGGTGTGGGTTGTGAGTCGGGTTGGTTCTAACTTTAATTTTTGAAAAAAAATTTATTTGAATTTTTTCAAGTTTTTGTGAGAAAATTATTTGAATTTCTAAACGAAATTAAATTAATTTTTGGCAGTCCAAACGGTCCTTGTTCAATCCATTTCCAGCAGTTTTAAAACTGCCCAAACAGATTTAAACTGTTGTGCAGTTATCTGTTGAAACTGCCACCAAATCTGTTTGAAATTCAAACTGTATCTGTCCTGTTTGAAATTCAAACTGTATCTGTCCAGTTTGAATTTGCACCTGTTCAGTTCAAATAACATACTTGTTCGGGTCTATTATTGGCCTATAAAAGCAGTTCTTTTCCAGCATTCGTTTCCATCCAAAAGACATCCAGAAAAATTATCCTGCTTCCCGATTTTGCACTATACTTGCATTATTCTTCATATTATTTTTAGGAAAAATTTAGAAATGATAGAACACAGGTTTTGTTCGCCGTACAAATTGTTTGGAGTGCTACTACAATTTGTGAAGATCATTATATCCTGGGAGATAGACGCCTTTTATCTGTAAGCACCGTAGCGGGGCGAATCTGTCTTAAGGATAGAGTGTCACACACTCGACTTGATCTTTTTGCTTTTACATTTCAATAAAATAAATTCTGTAAGTAATTTATTTTTATTTGTTTGATTTGTTTCAAGTTATTTATTTTACACAGAAGATTGTTTCAACACTTGATGCATTGTACTAGTGATAATCTCCATCCTCATACAACAATTCACACTTGTTATGATGGCACAAACTTGTTTTTGCGGTCGATGTACATTGGTACACAGGCCAGACATCATCAGTGCTGGCCCGTCAAGACTCGCAGTCGCCACTGGCCTAAAAAAATGAAATGTGTCATTTATCATCCTAGAAAGAGCCAATTGCATCAACTCTTTCGACAAAACCACACATACAATCACCTTAAACTCCTTCTAACTAAGCAGTTCTCCCAACTACCCTACTTCCCATTTCCATGAAACTTTCCAAAATACCACTCCAAGTGACCATTTCATTGACTACCTTGAATCATATGCAAAGCACTTCAACAGCCAACCATGGTTCAATAAAAATGTTGAGTCTGCCAAGTACAATGAAACTTGTGGGTTGTGGAGACTGAAGGTGGTGGCAAGTGATGATCAAACTAAGTATATTTGTCGATGGCTGGTGGTGGCTATTGGAGAGAATTCCGAGAAGGTGATACCGGAGATTGAAGGGTTGGAGGAGTTTGGTGGTAGTGTCATGCATGCTTGTGAGTACAAGTGTGGTGAAGGGAATATTGAATCCCAAAATTTGTTTCATGGTTTAACAAGAGTATACATTTTATTTTATTTTTTGCGTCTTTAAAATATATGTCACTTAAAAAGATTTTTCTTTTATAGTAAATTTTGCAATCTCTCTTTTATTTTATTATTATTACTATTACTGTTACTATTACTTTCTTCTTCTTTTTTTTTTTTGTGTTTTTAAATCTTGTCCCATTAATTTCTTCTTCTTTTTTTTTTTTTGTGTGTTTTTAAATCATGTCCCATTAAAAGTCTTATTTTACAATAAAAGAGAGATTTGTAATTTTCAAAATTACAACCTTGGTTTGGCCTACTAATCATGAGGTTACTAGTTTATTTCCTATTAAAAAAAAATTGCAAGACACAAAAAGGTTCCTAGTTTAGTTACTAGCATTGTCATAGAACCAAATATGGCATGGTTCGGTCTCCTGACTTCAGTAGGTTAGACACCATATTATCAGGAAAAAACATGGAACCAAAGATGGCCAGGAGGTTTCCCATTTCACATTGTACAAGAAATTATATAAACACTTCATACATAATCAATAAATAAAAGTATATGTTTAAACATCCCATAAGTCTAAATAAATAAATAAAAACCACTTTGGGGTGTTTTGGAAGGATGGTTAAAAGTTGTTTTTTTGACTTTTTTAAACTTTTTTGTGAGAAGAAAGTGGGTTCAAAGCTGGGAAGTGAATTTTACCCCACTTCCCAAAATAGGCCTTTGTCTCAGTGTCCTCTAGAATTTCTTTTACGAAGATGCTCTGCCATGGTTTCCTGCCGTGGTCCCTACTGTGGTGTCAAAACGACGTTGTTTTGGCGTTAATTTCATTTTTTTCCTTTTCTTTTTTCCCTTTCTCCCTCAATCATTAAGGCAACCCTAACCCTAAAGAGAGGTGAACTCGAACGATTCCTCCGATGCAGGGGGGTGGGCAATCGCGACTCCGGAGGCGACAACGGCTGCAACTAGGCAAGGTGAGGCGGTTGTGAGGTGTCCTCTTCCATCTTCATTCTTATGTGGTGCTTAAATATGTAAGTAGATATATATATATATGATTTCTTGATTTGAATTTCTTGTTGATTTCTTAAATGGGTTTTGTTAAGTGGTTTGATTTCTAGGGTTTTATGGGTTTGATTTCTAAGGTTTGATTTCTTGTTGATTTCGTAAATGGGTTTGATTTTTAGAGGTTTTTTTCCCCCACTTTTCCTTTCTCTCTCATCAGTTTAAAGCCCTAAGCAATTTCAAAGAACAGATAAGTGGTCTGAACTGAACCCCCTCCATCGATTCTTTGTCTTCCCTTTCCATTCAATCTTCTATGGCGTCCATGTCTAGATTTGTTGCCAAAGATTGCAGTTGTAGCCTCACGATGCTCTTTACAGGAAAAACTACTTGCTTACTAGCAAGGAAGCTTCAAACCCATTTGTGTATGTGTTGATTTTTTGATTTGTGCCACTGGTTGACTTGTGGGTATTGTTTAATTGCTTGTTTTGATTTGTTTTATTTTAAAGGGTTTGATCCTCTTGGATCAGTGGTTTTTTTTTTTTTTTTTGGCCATCATCATGTTCGAGAAGTGTTCAGAGAGTGTTGGAGGTGTGTCCAGCAACTAAGGTGGTGTTTGGGAACTTGGGTTTAATTTGTTGAGATAAATATAGAAGATGTGGAATATGAATTGGAATTGGGTTTGGGTGGAAGCTTTGAGAAATGGAATCAATACATGGGGGGATCCTGTTTTTAGAAATTAATAGTTTTGGTCACAAAATATTTTAAACAGTCACAAGACTGAATCCACAAAAATAGCAGAAAATATGACTGATTGGGGTGAGGTAATCCATCAACCCAAGGTCAAGATATGGTTTGTGTTGTCAAAATGGCACATATGATGTGTATGTAGTTAGGCCTTGATGAATTGTGTTAGTATAATGTTCATTTCTAATTACACTGTTTGATTGAGCTGATTCACAATTGTTGTTTTTATTGAATGAAATTGTTATATGTCTCAAAACAGAGCAGTTCAATTTTTTCCATTAGGGTTGAAGCCATTGACACAATACTGATGAGTTTACTGTGTAAATTTAAGCCTTTCCCCCCTCTCCCCTCTCCTTCTTTTTGCAGGGTTGAAGCCCAACAAAGTGTACTATTATCAATGTGGAGATCCTTCTATACCAGAAATGAGTAATGTGTCCTAAAAATGAAATACAAAGAAGTGATGGAATTATAAGAGAAAGAGTTGTGCTACTACCAAGTGAACTTGTAAGAAACGGAGAGTGTTAGTGAACAACTTTGATTTTTGACTGCGAAGATGCAACAAGCAATAAACTTTTGAATGTGTAATTGGTGTTACTTGTAATTGCTATTATTTTAATTATGAAACAGTAACTATGTTTCAATGTTGTAATTGACTAGTTTGATTTTTGAAATGGTTGGGAATGTAGAACTTTTGAAAACTGTAAAATTTCAAAGAGTGGTGCTATTAACACCCCATAAATTATTTTGGATCTTCTATTTCTTTGTTCCCCCACCTATAAATTTTGAAATTCTCAAATTTTCTTTTTTTCCCCCAAATAATACCAAAATTATCCTTGTGAAAACATTACACCCATTGAATGCACACCTTCCACACCCCAAAAACAACCTCTCTTCCAAAAAATCCTAACAAAACCCACCAAGAAGAAAAAGAGCCAATGCGATTACTGTCTCGGCTGTCTAATCCACCATTGTCACAGTTGGTATGCTCTCTCTCTCTCTCTATATATATATACATAATTTCTTAGTTTTCTCGTAATACTTTATTCTCTTGCAATAAAAAAATTATAATAATTGGTTTGGTTGGTTTTATTGGTAGATATTATAAAATTGTGAGATCGGTAGAGAACTATGCAGCAATATTATCAAAGCTACGCAATGAAGGAATAACTTTTGAACATGATAATAGATTTGGGCTACTTCCGATAACTTTTGCAAGTGTTAAAAATTTTGACCATTCAATGTGTTAAGAAATTTCTATGTTCAGGCCTATATTCCTGAACTTGAAAAAATGAAAATTTCTGCAGGCGTTAACAATTTTGACCATTCAATGTGTTAAGAAATTTTCATGTTCGAACTTGCATTTCCGAACATTACTTATTTGTTTGGGAATGCCTTCCCGAACAAATAAGTAATGCTCGGACATATATTTTCAAACTTGAAAAAATATAAACTTCTGCAAGCATTAACGATTTTGACCATTCAATCTGTTAAGAAATTTTCATGTTCGGACCTACATAATGTTCGAGAATGCCTTCCCGAACAAATAAACAATGTTTGGGCCTATGTTCCCGAATTTTAGTCATATGTTCGGGAGTTCAATTCCGAAAAAATGATGAACATATTTTATTATTTTTGTTATTTTTTTTAAGAAACTTACCCTTACAAGGTCAATCTCCTTTGAGCTAAGAACAACATCAAAACTATGAACCTCCTCTAAGTTTTTATTGTTGTACTCCTCTCGTCTTATGGAGTTGTGGTTACCAGAAAAACTCACTCATTGTCATTGTCGAAGAAGTGTAGGTAGTCAAATGATTGCCGTTGTTACCGCCGGAATATTACCGCCAAAGGGTTTTTAAGGTTTTGAAGGTGGGTAGGTTTTGAAGGTGAAATTTGGGGAAGGTGGATGGATGGTGATGGAGTTAGGTGCTCTCATAAATCCTAATTCATGATGTAGTGGGTGTGTAGGTTTAATTGTGAGATGGGTTGTCCGAAAATTTATGTTATGATGTTCTTTTTAGTAATATTATTTGAGGTTATTATTGTAATAAAAAAAAGTTAAAAATTGGAGGATCCAAAATAATTTATAAGGTGCTAATAGCAACACTCATTTGAAAATGTTGTTGCTATTAATAGTTGGGAATTTAGAAATTTTGAAAATTGTTAATTTTGAAATGTTGTTGTATTTGCTATTATTGAAATGGTTGGGAATATATGTCAACGTTGTTCTTGCCATCTTGACAAATATTAATTCTTTTTGATGATTATCCAAATACATAGATGGAATGCCATAGAAACAACCTAGCTCACTCCAGGTGAGAATTTTATTGGAAAAAACAAACAATCAAGTTTAATGCTGGACAACTTAAGCAGTCTTCATCCTTAGTTTATCATTCAGTCAATTAACACAAGGTTGAAATCAATTAACATCAACGTAATTAAACCAAAACATTCTGTCAATTAACATAATAAGGTTGAAATCAATTAACATTCAATCAATTAATTGTTCATATCGAGGCTTTTAGTTTGAACATAAGGCAGAAATCACCAAAACAACATTCAACTAAAATAACATCTAACTAAACCAAAATATTGTATCTTCTTAGAAATGGTTTTGGAAATATCAGATTTTTCCTTAGCTTTGGTCTAATTTTAAGGTGGGATACATGCACCAAAGTTGGCGGGTCTACGTGGTAACACATTCTATGTCGCGTTGTGATTCACATAGTATATTTGATTGCTTAAAACCATTATCGGGTGAATGGGAAATTGAAGCCAAAGTGAGCACCATGAAAATGGTGTTTTGGTAGAATTTCCATAAAGGTTTGACTTAAAGCTTGTCCCACATTGGTTTGATGGGCAAACTTTGAGTGGGTTTATAAGGCTTGAGTTTGGAACTTGGGGTAGGCCCCAAGGGGCACTCAAGTTTTGTAGAGAGAGAGAGATTATGGGCAAAGTGGGCTAGACCCATTGGACCCAAAATAAACATACACGCCCTCGCCGCCGCCGGTGTCTGGTCAACTGGGCTTGGGCACGGATACGTGGTGTGAGGTTGGGTTAGGCTTGTCCGGACCAATACTTATCTTTTTGGGCCAAAAACATTTCAATTTTATTTTATTTTTTGGTAAAATAAAATTTGTCCAGTTTTAATTTCAAATTTTGGTTGGAAAAATTCAAATTTCTTCGCACCTTTTCAGAATTTCGGTACAGGTTCCATGTCTGTCCAAACAGATCCAAATTTGTTCAAATTCAAACCCAAACAATTCTTCATCC